AGGTGTACCCAGATGCTTGGGTCTTAGTTAATTCCAGGCATAGTCAAGCTGACGACCAAGACTAAACATCACACAGAGACAAGCAGTAAGGTCTCAGCAGCTGCTGGGAGAAGGGAGATTGAGGAGAAAAAAAATTAAGAATCTGATGTGTGATGGGCGGTGGTGGCACACACCTTTAATCCCTGCACTTGGGAGGCTGAGGCAGAGGCAGAGGCAGAGGCCAGCCTGGTCTAGAGAGCGAGTTCCAGGACAGCCAGGATTATTATATAGAGAAAACTTGTCCTGGGATAAACAAACAAAAAATACATAAACTGATATGCATGAAAATTACTTTTATCACACTAAGCCTCATTTATTCATCAGTAAAATGGGTATAATAATAATTTACAATGGGTAGAGTATTTGGAGAACTCTGTAGACTACTTCATGCAAAACGTTGGGCCCTGGCATACTATCAGCATTGAAAATTGGCTAGGCCGTGGATAGGAGGCAAAAACAGGCAGAACTCTGAGTTTTGAGTCCAGTGTGGTCTACAGAGCAAGTTCCAGGACAGCCAAACCTACGTAGACAAATCGAGTCTCAAAAAACCAAAACAAAAAAGTGAACCTTTGTTACAGTTTGAGCAGTATTTCAGATGTAGCTAGCTGGGCATGGTTAGTCTTCCTCTAATCTCATCATTTGGGAAGCAGGAGTATGCCACCGATTTCGGGAAAGTCTAGGCCACAGAGTTAGACTATATAATAAAAAACAAAAACAAGAGAATGAATGAATACGTGCTATAGCAGTTCACTCCCGCCCCCCCCTTTTGGTGTTTTTGAGACAGGGTTTCTCTGTGTAGCTTTTTGAGGCTGTCCTGGAACTCACTCTGTGGGCCAGGCTGGCCTTGAACTCACAGATCCACCTGGCTGCAGTTCACACTTTAAAATCAAGTTTTGTGCAGAAATCACACACTACATTTCCAACTCTGACCCTTTAGCAGGGGAATCTCACTGTGATCCTGTAACTAATTTTAAAAGGGGAGGGGCAGGCAAGATGGGTCAGTGGGTCAAGGCACTTGTCACCAAGCCTGAAGACCTGAGTTGGATGCCTGAGAGTCACACTTCTACAAGTCATCCTCTGACCACCACCTCTACCCTGAGTAAATAAATAAATGTAGCCAGGTAGTGGTGGCAGTGGTACACGCCTTTAATCCCAGCACTGGAGCGGGGGACGGTGCAGAGGCAGGTGGATCTCTGAGTTCGAGGCCAGCCTGGTCTACAGAGCGAGTTCCAGGACAGTCAGGGCTCCACGGAGAAATCCTGTCTCAAAATACCAAAAATTATAAAGTGTAAAAAAGCAAACTTAAATGGAAGCAGAAGTACCTGAGGAATGTGCTGGCCAGATCTGGAGTGGATTAACGGAACAAAATCAGGGCACTGACACTAAGTGAGCATTACACTGAAAAGCTTTGGTTCCTACTAAAGGTCCTCTTTGATCCTTGACTGTGGTGGGAGTTGCAGCATACTTCTTTCCTGTGAAACTCAAGTCAGTCGTATTGGCCTGCCTGATTCTGTGGCTGTCCTCTTTGCAAGCCCTTGTGACATTTGTGGAAATTGGCCCAAGACCCATTCTTCCAGCCTGAGCTACTCTACCTTAAACTGCCTGAAGCGTGAGGAGTAAAATGGAGCTGTTCTAAGAGATCATCCTGAGAGAACCTGATGGATGCTCCTAAACCAAACCGAGAAGACCACTCCGTCTCTGGTCTTCAAAAGGTGGAACCAGTTCTTAAATCGTGGTTCTGAAGTTGGAAAAGTTAAAATAGAGCATGCTCCAACAGGTAGAAGAAAGGGGACCCCTGGAAGCTTCCTTGGATCTCCCTTTATCTCCATTGGGTTTCCCTGTAAGTGTTAAGCAGGCTTCTGCTGGCTGGAGCCCCACATGCTTGTCTGACCACATTTCTAGCCATGGTCTCTACAGCTGACATGGCCTGTGTGACATCACTCAAACCACCTGGTACTGAGGCACCAAGCAAGCCAAGGTGGCTGGCCTGGGCCCTTCAATGTAGCCTTTACAGAGGAGCTGACTCATGGACAGTGGCACTCCATGCTGACCTCACGGCCTGATGTGATTGCAGATGTTTTTGAGCCAAGGAGAGAACCCCTTCCAGGTGCAGCTGACCAGGGAGAGCTAACCAGAGCTGCCAGAGAAAAGGCATGGGGAGCAGAGAGATATCTCTTGCTGGCTGTGGGATCTCATCTCCTTTTGTCTTGTTTAGGTTTCTCCTCTGCCTCCTACTTAAAGGTCCATGTTAAAACCCACCACGGTGTTCCCCTTCCCCAGGTCTCCAGGCACCAGGAACCCATCCTGAATGGGGGAGCAGCGTTCCACTGCGCCAGGACCTATGGCAACAAAGGCAAGCGACCCCTTGCTCTGCACTTTGCTTCTCTGCGCAGACTGTGTTGTGGGGGCGCTGGGCCGGGTGGTGGGGAGGCAGTGCTCTCCAGGACAAAGTTCCACGGGAATCTCACTCCAGAACAGTGAGTGAGGCTTTAGGGTACTGCTGATCCAGCCTGCCTCCTCTTCCCAGCCTTCCCGCCTGCCTCTTGGCTAGCCCCCATTGTCTGGAGCCCTGCAGGGTTACCCTAGGGCAGGAAGAGGAGTACTGCATGATGAGTTACTCTGGGTCTACCCACTACCTGCCGGACCTGTGGCTGAATACTTTCTCCTTGGTTGATTCTGTGGGTGGGTGGGAGCCAAAGGCTGGCTTCTTCCATGGTATTGGTGGTTGGTTGCCACAAGTGGCCATTTCGAAAGAGTCTCTGGCTGCATTTGTGAGATGCATGGCAGTAAATGAGCCTCTGATTTGGAGTTGGTTTGTTTGACAAGCGTTTCCAGATTCACTGTTACCTTGTTGGTTCGTGTTTGGATGTGTGTCATGATGTTGTCTTTTCACCAGGGGCGTGGCAGATGGTAGAGATGGCATGCTCCATGCTCCCATCACAGACCTCCCATCCTGGCATGGCTCTCTGGACCCAGGCTGGAAGCTGCTAGTTGGTAGTAGACCCCAGTGTGGGCCAGGCAAGGCAGGGTGGTAAGGGCAATTTCTTGGTGTAGATGGAGCTACCCGGTCGACTAAGTTCAGAGTTGCTGCTCTTCTGTGTACTTTGGCTATATGGCCCTGGAAGATCTTTGCAGAAGTGGAAAGGTTGTATAGGCCTCATGTACGGGCTGGTTGCTGTCTGAGCCATCAGTAAGAGCTAGCTGAGTAAAGGATCTGTCTGTGGTTCTAGTTTTGCCTGCTTTGTGAAGTTAGCCACTGGTCTATGCAGGGTACAAGCCACTGACACGTCTGCTCATCATAATCAGAGTAGGCACCTCTGGAGATATGTAGGAATTGGGGGGGGCGTCTCTGGGTTGTTTTGGGCAGAAGTAGGAGGGATCCCTTCTTAGCCTTCCTTCTCTGAAGCAGGCTGAGATGATGGTGAACTCTATACACACGTCTGCATGAAGAGTTTACAGTGAAGGAGGCTGGTGGCCCCAGGACACTGTCATCTTGCCCCCATAGACATTCTAGGCTCCTAGACAGACCAGCCAAACCTCCATGGGGTCTGCCAGGTTAGTTAATGGCCAAAGCTGGCCCTCCAGAGCCTATTAGCTGGCCTCTCATGGCTCCTCCAGGAGGGGACAGCTCCAATGCCTGGCCTCATCTCTTCCCTGTTTTGTTTTTTCATAGAAGGCCAGAAATGCTCACATCAGGATCTGATTGAGAGCTCTGATTCCTATGGTGACCTCTCAGATGCCAGTGACCTGAAGACGCCAGAGAAACAGAGTGCCAACGGCTCTTTCTCCTGCGACATGGCAGTCCCTAAAAACAAAATGGAGTCTGACGGGGAGAAGAAATACCCATGCCCTGAATGTGGGAGCTTCTTCCGTTCTAAGTCCTACTTGAACAAACACATCCAGAAGGTGCATGTCCGGGCCCTCGGGGGCCCTTTGGGGGACTTGGGCCCTGCCCTGGGCTCACCTTTCTCTCCCCAGCAGAACATGTCTCTTCTTGAGTCCTTTGGATTTCAGATTGTTCAGTCAGCGTTTGCATCATCTTTAGTGGATCCTGAGGTGGACCAGCAGCCCATGGGGCCTGAAGGGAAGTGAGACATGCTGTGTCCCCACAGAACAGCCTTTGGGGACTGCTGAGAAATGCTGTGAATGCGGAGGGAAGTGATGTCTTTGGGTTCTGTAGCTGAGAGATTTTTATTCATTTTAACCCCTCCCTGCCCCTACCCTGCTCCCCTCCCTGTCCATCACCCATTCCTCCCAATGGTCTTAGAAATAGCTCTCATCTGATACTCTGTGCAGAAATATTTGAGAGACCCAGTATGGGACAAGGGCATAAAACACTACATAGTTGTCTCCGCCAGCACCAGTCCTGGTTCCTCTAGGTCTGGTGCTTAGTTCTTGGTGATTCTAAACCTCAATTCCAAGACATTCTTGGACTTCGGTTGTTTTTGTCCCTTCCCATTTCTTTAATTCTTCACCCCCCACCCCTTCCTATATTCTCAAAAGAAATTACCGTTGGGTCTCTACCCTCTTATGGCCAACTATTTTTAAGGAAGCCAGAAACCTACAGCATCCCATGGACCATAGGATGAGTGTCCTCTAAGAGCCCTTTGAGGTTGGCCCTGGTCTTCTTGAGCTGCTGGAAGCTAAGACTTCATTGCCAGGACAAGCTCATCTACTGAGGACACCTCTACCCCAAATTCCAGTTTCTTACTTGATTTTAACCATTCAACTTGCTGTTGGGTTTCGATTCTCTAATTCTTATTACTGTTATTTTTAGGACCAGTTGTAGTGAATTGCTACTGAAAGCTACCCCAGGTGACACAGAGCTCTTTGTAAACCGCAGTCACACATTAGGGTTAGTATTAAACTTTGTTTAGATGTACCATAATTAACTTGGCTAGTTGTTTGAAGTCTATGGAAGAAATAGTTTTATGCAAAATTTAAAAAAAATTCCAGTCTGGTCAGGAAGAGGTTTTTAATGGTGTTGGGGGCCAGGAAGGTAGGAGAGCCTCAGGTAGAAACATTGTGTACCTTGGTTGTGTTACACTTGAGCAAACCCAGGTTGACCTTGTGATGTGAATTGATCTGATCAGACTATATTAAAAACATTAGTACGATACTCTGCCTGTTCCCCTGAGTCCAGTTTTTCAGGGGTGTCTTTGGGACTTGGACATTGTACCCCCTGTCGGAGAGGGGCAGTGTGTGGTTCCCAGGAGATCTCATTCTTCTCCATTGCATCAGTTCCATTGTGCCTAATGGGCAGATGTTTCCACCAAAAGACAAGTTTCCAGGACTCATTTACTCAGCAAACATTCAGTCCTTTTCACTGCTTGTGTACCAGGTATGTTTTCAGGCTCTGTAATGAACAAAACAGCCCTTAAGACTTACTGGGAGCCGGGCGTTGGTGGTGCATGCCTTTAATCCTAGCACTCGGGAGGCAAAGGCAGGCGGATCTCTGTGAGTTCGAGGCCAGCCTGGTCTACAGATTTCCAGGACAGCCTCCAAAGCCACAGAGAAACCCTGTCTCGAAAAACAAAACAAAAAAAAAAACAAAAGACTTACTGGGAGAGACGGTTAACAAGCATGCAGGTTAACAAGCAAGAGGCAAACAGCAAAAGGTGACGGGTTAGTGACAGCTAGTAGATAGGGTGGCTGGCCCAGGAAGGAACGAGGCAAGTGTTAGCACTCAGGAGCGGACTCAAGGCAATGACCTGCTGGAACTATGGAGAGACATAGCAGGGAGAAGCATATTGTGACCAGGGGCCTCTAAATAGCCACTTGAGGTTCTCCCCGACACACGTTACCCAGCTTGTTTTGTTGTCCATTAGTTGTGGATGTATGAAGAGAAGACATTCTTTTTCTTTCTTTCTTTTTTTTTTTTTTTTTTTTTTTTTTTTTGGTTTTTTGAGACAGGGTTTCTCTGTATTGTTTTGGAGGCTGTCCTGGAACTAGCTCTGTAGACCAGGCTGGCCTCGAACTCACAGAGATCCGCCTGCCTCTGCTTCCCGAGTGCTGGGATTAAAGGCATGCGCCACCAACGCCCGGCTTAAGAGAAGACATTCTTAGTTCTGGGTATGTATGTGCTTATGTATGTGCAGATGAGCGCATGTGGAGGCCAGAGGACAGTCTCCAGTGTTCTGGCAGCCATCCACCTTGTTTTTGGAAGTGCTTTCACTGACTTGGAGTTCTCTAAGTGGGCTAGGCTGGCTAGCCTGCAGGCCCGGTTCGCTTGTCTCCCAGTTCTGGGGTTACAGGTGCACACCACCGTGTCTGGCATTTTTGTACATGGGTGCTGGGGTCTCATGTTTTCAAGGCAAGCAGTTATCTGACTGAGCCATCTCTCAACCCCACTAAGGAGAATTAATGGGAACAAAAACCAATAGAAAGAGGGACTGGCAGGTTTCCAACACTCCAAGGATCTTGAGAAATCTCAAGTGAATAGAAATAATCTTTGATCCCCAATAGGAAGAAAGAAACGAGTAGTGACACAGGAGAAAAGATAATCACAACAGGAGGGAAAAGCGCAGAATCACTTAGTTGTGGAGTTAATAGTCATCATGTTGCCTTTCTTTAATTATTTATTTGTGTATTTTTTAGATATGAGTGCTCTGTCTGCAATGCATGCCAGAGAGAGCTTCAATTTCATGCGGTTGCTAGAAATTGAACTCAGGACTTTTGGAAGAACAGCCAGTGCTCTTAACCACTGAGCCATCTCTCCAGCCCCCACATTACTTTTCTTTCTTTTTTTTTTTAAATATTTATTTATTTATTATATATATAGCGGTCTGACTGCATGTCTGCCTGCAGGCCAGATCTCACTATAGATGGTTGTGAGCCACCATGTGGTTGCTGGGAATTGAACTCAGGACCTCTGGAAGAGCAGCCAAAGCTCTTAACCATTGAGCCATCTCTCCAACCCGCCCCCCACATTACTTTTCTGATTTAAAGGCAAAACCTTCTGGCTAGATTTATAAAATAGTCATCTATTTACATGAACTCTTGGGTAACTTGCTGGGCGTTGCGGACTATAGGATAGAGGATTGGCCATTTAATGTGAATTGACAAAGATAGGCTGACTTAGCATGCTGGAATTTTTGCAGACATGCGGCTTTGTGACTATTACAGAATTTGCAACCTAATTATACTTGTGTTAAAGTACAGACCTGGCCTTGAGCCAAGGACTTGACATGTTTGGCCTGAGTCCTTCTGAACACATTTTTAGTTCTATACATTGGGCACCACCAGCCTTGCCGTGGGCAAGTGGGGACTGTAGTTATAAAAGAGTTTCTATCAGTGTCTCATGGCAGGAAGTGAACGACAAAACAAGCAGGTGCTCCTGCCTGCCCCAACTACCTGTACCCTCCATGCACAGACAGAAAAGCTGTGGACCATGAAGGGTGTTGACCTACCTTCCTTTACACTTGTCCAGGATAGCGAACTTTTGCTTTTGCTCCTGAGCAAATTTCTGACCCACAGTTTCCTCATCAGCAGACCACCATCACAAGCTAAGACTCTTCTTAGTCTTCAGCACAACCATGAAATTTGTTCTGTTACTAATGGCCCACTTCCTGCAAGTGAGAAACAGGCACAGAAGCTGGGGGGTAAGCAGGCTCTTCATCCTTAGACTATGCACCCCCCCACCCCCAGTGATTGAGGCCATATCCTAGCCTTCCCTGGGCTTTACTGAAGTAAAGGTAGATTTGTCCTCAGGCACACCACAGTGCTAGCCCAACTTTTGCTGGAAAGTCTGGGCCATGAACAAGCCAAGTCTGAGGCCCTGTACTCAGCTCCCATGACAGATTACCCTGGGAAGGTCGTGGAGATCCCATGCCCCAAGGGACCCTAGTGAACACAGCTATGGAGAAATTTGATCACCAGTAAGTAGAATCTGGATACTTAACAAGGTGGGCTGTGGCAGTTCCAGAATACAGCTGTGGGGTACTTTTTACAATTCTGGCAACTCTCCAAGCCTCTTTGCTTATGAAGTGGGCATGAGAGGAATGACTGGGAGGGTTGTGGTAAAGCGGGAGAGAATATTCTCAGGAGCGCCTGCCTGTGAGAATGAGTAAATGGCTTCTATCCAGGCCCCCATTCTGAGCATCACTCCCCACTCCCCCAAAACCAACTGCATGTAACTTACCTTTGGATTTCCCAGGTTAACCCGTTGCTTCCTACTTGGTAGTCACCAAGCACAAGTTCACTTGTGGGTCTTTTTTTCCTTAATATTTATGGTCCAAATAAATACAGTAACCATTAATAATAATGACACATTAAGGGTGCCCAGCACCTGCCTGAACCTTCAGATGTATCGATTCAAAGCCACTCAAAAAAGGCAGCACTATTTTACGATTAAGCAGCTTGCTCTAAACAGCTGTAGGCAATCCAGTGAGACTGGAGCCCAGCAGTGCGACCGAGTTTCTTTTGCGCCATCCTCCCACGGGACTGGCGTGGCTTTTCTGCAGCTGTCCTGTCCAACTGGAGCTTAGAGCCCCGGGTTACTCCTAGCCGTGAGTGCTTGGCTCTGCCCCCCAGCATGTCTTCCGCTTGAAGCCCCCACCCCATCCTAATCTGTGTGTCTTGCACAGCCTTCTTTAAGTGCTGCTGCTCTCCTAAGCAGTGTCCCTTCTCTGGGTGACATCACTATGCCCTGATTCATGGTTATCCCATGAGACAGCCAACCTGGTTCAGACCCCCACACTACCACTTTCTGAGTGACCAGTGTCTAGTTCCTCATGTTTAAAAAAGAAGAAAACAGTTCTTCCAGGGCTGCTGGGAGAACAAAGGTACTGATGCCTGGTAGAGCACACGAGGAAACACTTATAAACTTCCTTTCACTTTACTGTGACCTCTTTGATCAAACACCTTCGCTGCAGTGGAGAGGCCGAGCAAGAGCAGACTGTTTCTGTGCAGTGCCAGCAGGTAAGCGTTTGTGGTATCCCGGAAGGGGCCGTTCGTTTAGTTTGCAATTTGAGGGTGTAATCCATGTTGAAGATCAGTCAATGGCAGGAATGTGAAGCAGTTTGTCACACACTGTGCTCACAGTAGAAACAGCAAGAGATTAGGCCAAAATTACTTCAACCATTTAAAAATTGGGTGTAGTGGCACGTGCTTAAAATCTCAGCATGTGGGAGGTGGAGACAGGAAGAGTTTAAGGCCAACCTCAGCCACATAGGGAGTTCAAGGCCAGCTTGGGCTGTGTTCACAAAAACTTCCAAAGTAAAGCACTTAGTGTTAAATAAAACTAAGCAAGTGATTTTGAGGTCAGGCTGGATTTGGGCCCCCAGTTGCCATTTTACTGCAAGCTCAGCTTATGCTTTGCTAGGCCTGACCCTGTTTAGGGTTTCTGGTTTTACTCAACACCAGGACTTGGCCTCCTGCTTGCAGCTTCAAGGTTCGTGAGTTAGACTGATCAGAAACCCAAAGCTTGAGACTTTGTGGTCTGCTATCAATTCATTGATCCAGACAGTGCAATGCCATATCCTCTAGCATGGCTGCTCTGTGGGGACCCATGCAAGGGGGTCCAATGTGCTCATTACCAGGGCTGCCTACCCAATTTACTTTCTACCCTGTGTGTGTGTGTGTGTGTGTGTGTGTGTGTGTGTGTGTGTGCGTGTGTGTCTGTGTGTGTGTGTGTCTGTGTGTGTGTCTGTGTGTGTGTGTGTCTGTGTGTGTGTCTGTGTGTGTGTCTGTGTGTGTGTGTCTGTGTGTGTGTGTGTGTGTGTGTGTGTGTGTGTGTGTGTGTGTGTGTGTGTTTGCTTGCTTTGTTTTTCAAGACAAGATTTCTCTGTGTAGCTTTTGGAGCCTATCCTGGAACTTGCTCTGTAGACCAGGCTCGTCTTAAACTCGCAGAGATCCACCTGCTTCTACCTCCCGAGTGCTGGGATCAGTGGTGTGTACCACCACTGCCCAGTGATTATAAAGTTCTTCTTATTCATCTGAGGAACTCCAGAGGCCAAAATATGATCGCTGCTGTCTACAGTTTTCCTTGCCCCCACCTTATACGACAGCTAGTGTGCCTGCTGTGTGGAGCACTGTGTCCTGCGAGGGAAGCATTTTATCCTAAGGTCCAGAGAAGTGGAGTAAGTGCTCAGGTGAAGGGCCGTCTGACTCTGGAGCCTACAATGTCCTTCTGCTTTCCCTGTTCTGCACCATTTCCTCTTTTACACTGCCCTTTATCCTCTTGGGATGCTCAGGCTCAAACTGACAGGCCATGCTAGACATGCACTCTACAACCAAGTTATGTCCCCAGTCTGTTCATCATGACTACTTCTCCATATAAGACCAAGTTTCTTTGAAAATGGGATGTAAAAATAACTCATATTGAGGGCTGGAGGGATGGTTCTGTGGTTAAGAGCACCGACTGTTCTTCCAAAGGACTTGTGTTTGATTCCAGAACCACAGGGTGGCTCACCACCATCTGTATGTAACTTCAGTTCCTGGGGTGCAGTGCCCTCTTCTGGCCCCCTCAGACACCGGGCACACATGTGATGGACAGATACAAGCCAGCAAAAGACCCATACATAAAAAAATCTTAAATTAAAAACATAACTCATCTCTGTTTTCCCATTGCCTAGAATAGTATCCGACCCTTCACAGCCACTAATCCTCTCAACAGCTGTTCTTTCTGAATGGCTACTATGTGCTAAGAAAAACTTCATTCTTGTCCTGGGGGAGGGGGAGGAGTGTGCATTCTGCATACAGTTATATATGCACAAATAAATGTCTTTCTGAGAGAACACGATGGGTGAGAGGGAACAAGTGTCCTGAGTGTTGTGGCGAAAGCTGACAAAGTGGTGGCATTAGGTAAGGTCCCTAGAGAATACTTAGACTTCACATGTAGGGTGGTGTGGCAAGGGCAGAGGGACTCAGTGGGACAAACTGCCCTCAAGTACAAATACCCAACTGACATCAAAGTGACAAATCCCTTCATGCCACCATGGGAAAAGGAACCTTGTCAGACTACATAGGAGCTTCTGGGAAAAAGTTGCCCAGTCACCAGGCCAAAGAGGGAAGAACCATTTATGGAGCTAGTGTGAGTGAGCACTTCCTGAAGCTACATGACAGGAGGAACACAAGATAAAACATGTAACTGAGCCTCTCAACTCCAACTGCATGTCACTAATAATCCTCACCCAAGAGTCTCCTTGCAAAGCCAGGGCTGGAGCCAGAGAAAAGGCCAAAGTTGGACGCAGGGGAGAGGTGGAAGCCAAGGATGGGTAGACATCCCCACTACATGGGACCCCTTCCCAGGATTCATCCCATCCTACGGTACACACACAATCATTTTTCTCACTAGTAACTGAAACCAGAATGCACTGGTCCACCCCACAGGGTGAGAAGAGTCAACTCCAACACTGAGTCAGGGGCTCCTTTTCTTTGCTTTCTCCCTTTAATGAAATTCCCTCTCCTTAAAGATGAGCCCTTCCTCTCCCTGTATCAGCTCAGACCTGGAAACCAGACCCCTTCCTTTATTCTCTTCTAGATCAGTGTGTGTTCAGATGTGGACACTGACTCAAAGATAACAGGAGGTTTGAGACCTAGTCAGTACAGATACGCCCACTGCTTCTGGTCTTCCATGATTCCTGCCACAGAGAACACATTGCTGGCTAGGCTGATCCCCAGTGTCCCCAGCTGCCCCCTGGTGGCTGGTCACTCTTACTCTCCTTTCCTTCTTTATAGTTCCCCTCCTTTTCGCCTCCATACTGGTTCTACCCTTACCCTCATGGGCTCAATTCCTCCCATTATTTTTAGAATACTCCCCCACCCGGCTTAAAAAATACAAGAAGAATGGTTAGGGATATAACTCAATTGTAGAGTGCTTGCCTAATATGTACAAAGCCTGCATTCAATCCCCAGCACCAGATAAAGCTGGGTGTGGTGCACACACCTGTAACAGCAGCACTTGGAAAGTAGAGGGAGGAGAATCAGAAGTTCAAAGTCATCCTCAGCTATATAGCAAGTCAGAGACTAGCTTTGGCTACATAAGACACTGTCTCCAAACCAAACAGCAGCATAAACCACATACTTGTCAAGAATCTTTAAATTGTTCACCTCCTTTGAATTAAGAATCACACTGTGGAAGCTTTACAACAAAGTTACTCTAGACATCTTATTGTATAAAACTCATGCAAAATGTCATTCAGTTGGCCCATATATGTTCATTTAAAGATGGCTACAAAAACATTTAATACCATGAGAGAAAAATGCTTATATTGAAGGCGGTTATGGAGCAGGAGACATAGCTCAGTGGTTAAGAACACTTGCTGCTCTTGCAGAGAACCTGTGTTGGTGGCTCATAGCCATCTGTAACTACAGTTCCAAGGTATCTGACACCCTCTTCCAACTTCTGCAAGGCGCCAGGCATACATGTGATACACATACATAAATGCAAACAGACAAAACACTCATGCACATAAATAAAATCTAAAACTGATTAAGGAGATGGAGAGATAGCTCGGTGGTTAAATGTGCATAGTGTTTGATTCCTAGCACTTACATCAGGCAGTTCACAACTATCTGTAACTCTAGCTCCAGGGGATGGGACACCTCTGGCCTCTGAGGGCACTTGCACTCATGTGCAAACACACACACACACAATTATTTTTTTTCAAGACAGGGTTTCTCTGTGTAGCTGTGGCTATCCTGGAACTTGCTCTGTAGATCAGGCTGGCCTCTATCTTACAGAGATCCACCAAGCAGCTATAATAAAATAATACTGCTTATATTATAAGGTTTGAACAATGTTAAAAAGATGCATAGAAAAGACTGGAAGGAAATGTAGCTATAGTTGGCTTACTTGCATGCCTCACCCTGTATCAATACAAAGCATTTTCCAGATGTAACATAAGGTCAACCCCTTCTTTCCCACTGGGTGGTTTGATATATACCAAACAGGGGCTTGGGATGTTGGCTTAATAGTAAGAGCACTTGGTGTAAGATGAGGAATAAAGCCTGGGCTTGACTCTGGGTACCTCAAACTACACAGAATTAAAAACCTGTTAGAACTAAGTCTCTGTTATATAAGATTCATTAAAAATGTTTAGAGATATAAAACGATTCACTCTGACTGTTGAGGTGGCATACTGGTTAAGAGCAGCGGCTGCGCTTCCAGAGGACCCAGAGTAAATTTTTAGCCCCCATGTGGTGGCTCACATCTGTCTCTAACTCTAGTTCCAGTGTATTCGATGACCCCTTCTGGCTTCCATGGGCACCAGGCACATGTGGTACATAGACATACATGTAGGTAAAACACCCATACATATATAATCAATCTTTAAAAATCCCAACTTTCATATTCATGTTGAAATGTCTATCTCAAGCTCCTGTTCCCTGGTGACTCATGTGGAGGGTAGATGTAATCTGGATCTAGAATGTCCTTCAAAATCCTGCCTATGTGTTAAAGGCTTGGTCCCCACCTTGGCACTATTAGTTTTGGCAAATCTGAATAAAGCTGCCACAAGCACCCATGTGTAGTTAGGTGGGCGGACATATGCTTTCAACTACTTTGTATAAATACCAAGAAACATGCTTGCTGAATCATATGGTAGGAACATGTCTAGTTTCCCTTTTTTCTCTTGTGTGTGGGTGTGTGTGTATGCGGACGCCAGAGGTTGATGTCAGAACTCTTCCTTGCTTTTCTTCTTTTTTCTTTTCTTTCTTTCTTTCTTTCTTTCTTTCTTTCTTTCTTTCTTTCTTTCTTTCTTTCTTTCTTTCTTTCTTTTTTTAAAGACAGGGCCTCACACTGAACCTGAAGCTCATGGATCTGGCAATTTGGCTACAGTGGCACCCAGGTCAGTGAGCTGCAGTACTGGGATTGCAGGCTTGTGCCATCGTGCTTGCTGGGTTAGGACTGCAAACTCATACTTATGTAACAAACACTTAGCCCACTGAGCCGTCTCAGTCTCTCCTCTTATTTTATTTTTTTGGAGACAGGGTCTCATTTAGCTTAGCTTAGCCTTGAACTCATTTGCAAGTCAAGATGGCCCCAAATTCCAGATCCTCTCTACTTCCCAAGTATTGAGTACAAGTAGGTATATGGCACCACATACAGCTCTGATTTTGTTGTTGTTATTTGAACCAGGGTCTCATTATATAGACAAGGCTGTTTTTTTTTTCTTTAATTCACAGAGATTCCCCTGTCTTTACCTTCTGATTAAAGTTGGGTGCTAGGGATGTAAACCAGGGCCCTTTGAATGTGAGATGACTGATCTGACACTAAGTCACAGCAGTTTGGTATGTGTTTGTTTAGCTTATTTTTAAAATGGGTTTTTTTTTGTTAAGATTTATTATATATACAGTGCTCTGTCTGCATGTATGCCTGAGGGCCAGAAGAGGGCACCAGATCTCATTACAGATGGCTGTGAGTCACCATGTGGTTGCTGGAAATTGAACTCAGGACCTCTGTCTGGGAGAGCAGCGAGTGCTCTTAACTGCTGAACCATCTCTCTAGCCCTACTGTTGTTTTAGCACTTGCCTAAATAAAATAAACTAGGTTTAGTGGTCCTTACTCTAAACCTAGCTCGTAGGAGACTGAGGCAGGAGGATTGCTGTGAGTTCACAACCGGTCTAAGCTGTATAGATCCTGTCTCAACAAACACAA